TATTTATCCTTTGTCCTAAATCCATGCTATTGTGTGTTAACTATACTACAGCCATGTGCCACTGCTGTGGACGTCAATACTGCAGAACTCCCCAGCACCCCCTGCTTGATCATTCAAGGTAATGTTACTATGATATAATAAATAATAATAATTATGATTATAATAAGAATTACATTTGTATAGCCCTTTGTGTCTTAAGCAGATCGCAAAGTGCTCATAACACATAATGTTGTATCTGTTCATATCAGGTGACATGATGAAGCCCTCTGGATGGCTTATATCCATCGAGGGACATGTCGTGATGGGCCCACACCCTTTCTTTACACGGAGTAGCTGCTTTCTTCAGCAGCTATTACGTCTTCAACCTTGAGTATCCTGTGATGATGATTTCAAAACGTCTATTGCGAAATGCGAATGTATTGAATGAAGTAGATGAAATTTTCTTTAAAAGCAGAACAAAATGCTCTCAGGCCCTTAATTGAAAAGGATGTGTTTGTCATACTTGCAACAGGTTTTGGTTTTAATTTACCAACTGGCCAATTGCGTGAAGATGCATTTCAGTGGCGGCGCGCGTTGATATGGCCTCTCATAGTAGAAAATCAACCACTTTGCCTCAGGGAAACCTAACCTGAGGCACCTATCTTTGCTTATTAACAGGTGCTTCCTGGGCATCAATCCTGAAAGAGGCTCAAAGACCAAGAAGCGGACAACAATGAACCCTCATGTGAGCACCCTTTTGAGGAAACTTATTGACTTTGAGTGGGCATCATAGTTTCTGCATTTTAAGATGGCTTTTATGACTAGAAAGTTGAATTTCTTGAACTCTTGAAGTTCTTGGCATCTGCTGCACATTGAAAAATATTTGTTAATAAATATGCCATTGGGCTAACATTGAATTTACCTCAGAGTTGTTTGTTGGGTAGGGGGTTAATTGTACAATGATTGTAAATTCACAGTAAATGGAAGCTTCATCTGCATTACTTTTACAGTACGTTACTGGACAATTTTAGCATGACTTCCACAGTATACATTGTAAATTCACAGTAAATTATTGTCAACTTGTACATTACTTTCACAGTACACACTGTAAAAGTACAGGGCCTTGTTGTAATGATGTACAGCAAAAGATTGTAATTCCCCAGTAATGTACTGTAATATCACAATAATTCTTCTGCTGCATCGTCAGCTTTGTGACGGACGGTCTTTTCTGTCTTTGCAGCTCCATCAGTAAGGAGAGGGAGAACAAGTGTCCTGGGCCCTTCAGTGAGAGCAGCAGAGAGGGAGCATCACCTTCACCTGGAGTCCAACACCACGACAGACGGATAACAAAACTAAATCCAGCAGAAACGAGAAGATGACTCATGTTGTTTTCTTCTGTTTCTTCCAGCAGCTGAAACTGATGAACGGCCTGACGCTTCATTTCCACCTTCTCATGGTGACACACACTCACTTTCTACTTGGTGCTCCTCATGATAGTTTGGCTGAAACCTCGTCATGTCCCATCTGAATATATTTCATGTCCTCACTCTACAGATTTCCTTCTACAGTCCCGCAGCAGCCTTTCCCTCAGACCAGGTCAGCACATTCTTCTTCTTCTTCTTCTTCTTCTTCACATGCTCACACTAAATGAACTAACACTAAATACACTTGCTACTGTATCAGCTTCAGATTCTACTGATCCACTGCTCACACTGATATTACTGACATTACATCTGACCTGGACCTCATTAGACCTGGACTCCACTACATTTCAGGCCAAATGCTGCACTTTTTACTCACTCTGCACATTATTAACACAAACACACAGTAACTATCACATGTTGATGGATCATGTTAGCTTCAGATAGCCAGCGCTATATAAAGGATGCTTTATACTGTTACTGGGACTCGAACACAGTACTTTTACACTGTGCCACTGCTGCTTTTGCTTAGGGAAATGTTCAGAGTCCTTCTTCCACCGCTGCTTCACATCATCATCTCCATGGAAACACTCTGTTTGTTGAATGGATTATTGTTTCTTGTCTGCAGCTTCACTCACTGATGGATTTTCAAACTGTTCACTTGTCACAAACCTGTGGACTCATTTCTTCTTCTGTCTCTTCCAGGCTGTTGGGGACACGCCCTGAAGACTCGCTTCCAGCTGCTGCACCTGGAGGACAGCTGACACCACGAGTCCCAGCAGCACCTGTTCTGGACCAATAAAGACCTTGTGCTGTCAGTCATCTTCCAGGAAAACTTCAGCCACTTCCTGTTTCCCGCTCCATAACCCCCAGCTTCTACCTCTCCAGAACACCGGGAGGGGACACGGCCCCCTCCCGAACCCGACGCCGCGGGACCGGCTCCGGGTACCCGGCCGCACGCGGGATTCGAACCACCGCTGCGCCGTCTGCGCCTCGCGGTCGCCATCGAACCCCACGCCGCCGCCGAGTCCCCTTCACATCTGAACCTTTTCTCCGGGCGCTTTTATCTTCTCACTTTGGCTGTTGGACTTCAAAAGTCACTGAGCCTCATAAGGATCGAACCCACAACCTCAGAGCTTCTGAGCAGCCTTCTAACACTCTGAGCTGTTTGATCTGAGACACTGACTCTTTCTTTCTTACAGCTTTTCACTTTGTTGTTAAAGTTGAAATAATAATCTTATTATTGTAGTTCTTCAAACTAATCAGTAGAATTAATCCATTCTCAGATATTCTGAGTCAAATTTAACAAACATATTAAGGATTTCTAACAAATAGAATTTCATTTTGTGAAATAAAGCTGAATGATAAATTGTAAGTTGAATTTCTAGGCTTTTATTTTGGTATGTCCGAGTCAAACAGTCACTAAAGTGCCGTTCAGAGAATTGATGAAGTTACTATTTATTACTGCATCATTTTTTATAGTGTAGAATAACTAAAGGTGAAATATTCAGATGGAAATGATTTGAAACAGAGAAAAACTTTTTCTGATAAATAAATGTTTGATTTTCAAAGTTGCTGTCGAGTCTTTTTCTTTTAATCTAATATAAAAATCGATTTGACACAAAGATGAAGTGAACTTTTTATTTGGCTCCAATCAGACACAAACGCTCGTTCATCATTTATTCTGACTTTGATCCTCTTTATCTATCCTTCCTTCCTTCCTTCCTTCCTTCCTTCCTTCCTTCCTTCCTTCCTTCCTTCCTTCCTCCCTCGCTGCCTTCCTTCCTTTCTTCCTCCCTCGCTGCCTTCCTCCCTTGTTCCCTCCTTCCTTCCTTCCTTCCTTTCTTCCTCCCTCGCTGCCTTCCTCCCTTCCTCCCTCTGTTCCCTCTCTCTCTCTCTCTCTCTCCTCTCCCTCCCTTCCTCCCTTCCTTCCTTCCTCCCTCTGTTCCCTCCTTCCTTCCTTCCTCCCTTCCTTCCTCTCTCTCTCTCTCCCTCTCTCCTCTCTCCCCCTCTCTCCCTCCTCTCCCTCCCTCCCTCTCTCTCTCTCCCTCCCTCCCTCCCTTCCTCCCTCCCTCCTCTCTCCCTCCCTCCCTTCCTCCCTTCCTTCCTTCCCCCTCCCTCCTCTGTTCCCTCTCTCTTCCTCCCTCCCTCTGTTCCCTCCTCTCTTCCTCCCTCCCTCTGTTCCCTCCTCTCTTCCTCCCTCCCTCTGTTCCCTCCTCTCTTCCTTCCTTCCTCCCTCTGTTCCCTCCTCTCTTCCTTCCTTCCTTCCTCCCTCCCTCCCTCTGTTCCCTCCTCTCTTCCTTCCTCCCTTCCTCCCCTCTTCCTTCCTCCCTCCCTCCCTCTGTTCCCTCTCTCTCTCCCCCCCTTCCTCCTCCCCCCCCCTCACAGTTTGGGGGCCACTTTAACGCCTCCAGCCTTCTTGTGCGTCTCTCTAAGCCATGATATCAGGATGCTGTTTGTCTCCGCTGGCCTTTCCATCTGAGTCCAGTGTCCACACTCCTCGATGTGTCCTCTGCTCAGGTTCGGGATCTGCAGTCCACCAACAGAGACCGGGTCAGATTCATTTCCAATAATCTATAATCACTCTGTCTGTCTTCAGGAAGGACGCTGCTGTTTTTCTCACCAAGTCCTCCATCCCTTTGGAGAAGGCCGGCAGCAGAACCTGGTCTTTACCTGCCGTCACCATCAGAGCAGGCATCAGCAGCTGAGACACACACACACAGTGACAGACAGACTTTCTTTGTGCATCTCAGTCCTCTAAAGTGGAAATAAAAATCAGTCTTTGAACTTGAAGTCAAAGCATCAGTGAGCCTCTCTGCTGCACTGGGTCACATGTTCCTTCATCACCATGAACACACTCTGTACTTTATTCTGACTCAGTCCCACACACACCGTCCTGCTGCCCCAAACCCGCCACCTGTGGATTCATCCGCCGCTGAAAATAGTCCCTAACAAATGCACTGCTTCCTGTCTGTTGGATAAAAACCACAGTGAGCAGCTGCTTTAGGAAACAAAACCGCAACTAAATATCTGTGAGATGTTTTTAAAGATTTCCGTCTTCAGTAGGAAGCGACGGGCTCGGAGCTGAGGGCCACAGACAGGAAGTCAGACGCTACTAAGCCTGCAGAAACCTGACTTATACAGCAACATCAGAAACAGGGTCGGCACTTTTTAGGGGCAAATGTAAATTTCTCTTCAGCTGATCTTCGTCCAGCTGCTGCAGGAACACAAACACTGTGACAGATAATCCAGCAGCCTGATGGTGACTTTGATGTTCACCTATATTCTGACATTAAACCTTTTCCAGCAGGACGATACGATATGTCGGTTTCCAAGAAGTTTAAATGAGCTGAAAATGCTTTGCAGAACTCCAGGATGTGTAGAAACCCAGTTTTAGAGCCTGGTTTTGTTTTCTTAAATGTTTGTTTGAGATGCTGGCGTCTCATAATGCGCTCTGTAACGAACCTTTGCAGTGGGACGAGAACACATCCACCTCCAGTTCGCCTCCCCGTTACGATACCAGTTCAACGGTCTCCTGTGAAACCAAACACAAGACGGTGATCGACTCTGTATGAAAATGTTAGCGGCCTGTGAACAGATACCGTGTCCTGTTTTGAGCCACCTGAAGCCTCGCTCTCTGTACTGGCTGACGTAGTACTGCAGGTCGGCCTCCGTCAGCACGGAGCTCCGGGGAATCTGCTCCGGCAGACCCACAAACAGACCACCTGTAACGGGACGTGTCAGTATCTGCCGGGCTTTTTAATGAGCTCTTCAAATATCATTCGGGAGGAAGTCCCGGCTCAGACTTCAGGGTGGAGGCTCACCTCGAGCGCAGACTCCTGCGGTGCTGACGGCAGGACGCTTCGCCTGAAGACGGAAACACAACATTTCTTATGTGACACGAAGGGGATTTTTCTGCCTGTGCGGACTGGACTCGTGCGTGTGTGTCTACTCACCGCTTCACCGCTGCTGAAAAAGAAAATCTTAAAGGTCCTCTCCAAGTCTTTCTCCAGCTCGGCCTCCGCCGCGCCCTGCAACACACACAGGTGGACACTTTGCGTTTAGGTGGACAGATCCAGAGCTCTATCGTCATGCGAGTCCCACAGTCAAATCTCTGGCTCGTCTTCTTTAGCTGCCGTCTAGAAAAACACAAATACTTTGGTTTATTTAAATGATCCTTTTCACATTTCTGGTTGTGTCCAGATGAACTAAACTAGATCTAAAGTGTCTGTCAGTGAACTTTAAAGCTGTCTTCTGAACTTTGGACAGAGCCAGGCTAACAGTTTCCCCCCGCTTCCAGTCTTTATGCTAAGCTAGGCTAACCACACCAGGACATACACATAATGTTACTGAAATTCTTCACTCTCATAAAAAGCTGTGAATCTGGCTGGACAGCAGTCTCACTTTTACTTAAGTGAAGCTTCTGAGAAAGGAAGCAGGTGCTTCTCTTCCTTTAATGTGGGACTGTTGTTTTGTTTCTCCTTTCTGGAAATAAGCAGTCGTTTTGGAGAGTGGTTAAATAAACCGGAGCCAGAATCTCCTCTCTTCTCACGTTCTGGGCCTTTAAAGCGGGAATTCATTCGGTCGCAGGAATGTTGATGAATATTCACTGTTTTTATCAATATTTCAATCTTGTGGAAGCTTTGTTATTTGGAACCCAGAAATAGTGTTTTGAAGAAAACTCCCAATACAAGTGAACATATAAACAGTAAATAAGGCCAAAACATGGACATTCGCTGCTATATTTTAGGAAAAGTGTGTAATAACTGTTGTGTATTAGTTTCTTTTCATCACATTTACAGTTACAGCTGTATTCTTGCTGTGTTAGAAGATGTTCTGTTGAATTCTAATGAGCTGGATGATGGTTTGATGGTGATTTTGCTATTAAAATATAGATTTTATTCCAGGTGAGGATGAAAACATCATATTTTCCTTGATTGCATCTCCATTTAGTCTTTAATGGACCTTTCAAAGGAGACCAGAATTCTGCATCTAGGCCAAATGGTTGAGGAGTTTTTCCTGAGTCTGGTTTGTTATTTGAGACGTTTTTTCTGTTTCCAAGAGCTTCAGTTGTTCAGATGTGCTGCTTCATTTCTGCAGGATGTTTAGATTTCGTGCTCCTTATTTTATTGTGGCAGCTTTTTTCCTTTTACTGCTAATGTGCTCAGATTTGTTTGTTTTGTTCCTCATTGATTTTCTGTAATAACTCGTCTTGTGTTGCATTATGTTGTGTATCTGCTGGAAAACCAGCACAGCTGGAGACTCAGCCAGCAGAACACAACGCTGACACATCATCACCTTCTAAATATGAAACACTAGCTGACAGACAGTTGCCTGTTTGCACATGTGCAGTCATACATTTATATGTTTGTTTTTAACCCTTCCTTTTCTCTTCTAGCTGTCAGATAACTGTGAAGCAGCTGGTCTCTGACAGAAAGGGACAGCAGACGAAGATCTCATCATAATGGAATAAAGAGCTCAGCCTGTCGGCTCACGATATAACGTGCCGTGTGTCGTCTGTCGTATAAATATAAAGCCATCGTTGTGTTCACCAAACAAAGATCTGAACTGATCTGAAGTCCCGCCTGTGTCAGCGTGTTAGCATGCTGCAGACAGACTTACAGGTTTCTGGAAGTAGAGCTGGTAGTCAAATCTGGGTTCAGCCTTCAGTCTCTCTGCAGGAGTTACAGAAGGATCGGCGGGGAACAGAGGAGTGTTCAGAGACGCCGCAGCGCTTCACACACAACAACAAACAGGTTTTACTACAGCATCGAGCATCTGGGAGGCGCACCTGAACCTGTGCGTGTGCTCACCTGACTCTCTCAGGATGATACTGAGCCATGGTCCACACCAGAACGCCGCCCCAGTCGTGACCCACCAGGGTGACCTGAGGTATCGCCTGGAGAAGATATTATAGATCTGGGTTCTCCATCAGAACACGACGCGGACGACAAACTGAGATAATCGCCTGAATATCTGCAGCAAGTTTAAAGTCTCTGCAGGTTTATTTTGAACTAAAGTGAAGAGAAACTTTCAGACGTTACTGTAAATTAATGTCACTGTTTCTGGACTAAACAAACTTCCATCAACTCTTTTCATCATTTCATTTAATAGAAATTTGTGCCGCTGAGGTAAGAGTGCGTGTGATATGTTATTACTCACCATTTTGTCCAGAAATGTGATTAAATCCTTGAAGAGAGAGAAAACCTTTAATATTATTCTGTGTAAGCTGCATTACTGTTTGTGTGGCGGTGACACGATAACAAACAGAGGGAGAGATGGTTAAATCTGGTTAAATACAACCATTCTGTCTACATGATGTCACACTAAACCATTAAAGGCTTAAACAAGTCGACCAAGAACAATAAAAAATGCCTTCATGAAGCTAAAAAACTAGGCTTTGCTTTGGGAAACGCTTTGTTTACTTTCCGATGATGTAAAAACATGTAAAACCCTGAGGTCACGTGGAGCAGCGCAGTCATCCTCAACACTTAATGTGTGTTTCAGTAAATGTTTCTCTCCTTTTGTTCAGTGAAACCATGAAGATGAGCGTGTGTTGGTGAGTTTGTACCTGGCAGAGCTGCTCCTGAGAATATTCCTCTGTGTCTGTCGGCGGAGAAACGACAGGTAACCAGGTAAGAACATGAACCTTCAGAATCTGCTGGTTGTAAAATGCTTTTTATACACAGTAAAAGGTCAAAATGGAAAAGTCCTGACGCCAGACGGAGAAAATACTCCACTGCATTCAAAGCTTCCTTTAGTAAAAGCATGTAAGTTTTATCAGCAACATGAACTTTAGCTCTTTTACTGCTGGAGATGTTGAAGGTGGAGCTGGTTTTAACTCCTTTCTCTCCTGTTGGGGATTTAGTCTACAGCAATGCATCACGTCCCTCTGATCATCTGGGAGGTGTTGATACTGTTTGTCTGGCTATATGAATAATGGCTGTATCCTCATCTTCTCGCTCAGAAAGCCTTTCCTTCTCAGGTTTCTTCTTCTGTGACTGTGAGCGAGGCCCTTTTACCCTCTTAACCTCTAACTTAGACACATTAGACGCAGCAGCTTTTAGATTGTTTTAGTAGCAGAAAGGAGCAGAAAAAGTGCAGAACAGCCCTTTTTCATGTTTGACAGGAAAGTGAGGAGGTGAATCAGACGCACCTGTGAGGCGAGGGAAGGGGAAAGGAAACACAAGTTAGAGTGAGAGCGACTGAAGGAGGAGAAAAGTCTTTGTGGACATCTCCCCTCATTAAATTAAAGCTCTCTGGGCAACAATGTGCTGCAGGACGTGTGCTGATCCCTGGAGCGGGTTTGGATGGATCTTCTTCTTCTCTGTCTTTGAGCTGCTCCACGTGGACTGTGGACTTCCTGGTCTCTGCCGGACCTGCAGAAAGTGAAGTCTCCTTCCCTGCAGCTCTTCTCGTATCGTCCCGCCTCAGGTTAATGTGCGTCACCTCGTCTTCTACCGTTCAGCCAAACTCAGTCCACGTTTCTGCTCATTGTTTTTATTGACATGATTATTTGGGTTCAATACAAAAAGATTTCCTCGATGATGAAGCTGAAGTGCTCGTGTTTTCTCATGTCACTGTTTTTAAAGTCATGTTCAGGGTTCTGATTCTTATGATTATCAACTCTTATTTGGAATATTTGGACAAACCTACACGCAACAATTTAACTTAATATTTGACTTTTTCTCCAGATATTTCAGCCCGTCGTCGCCATATTTTAGTAAATATATAAAGTTTAGTTTCTATTGTGAGATATTTAACCGTCCTCGGACGTTTATATTTTATTTCCTGTTGTATGATCTGCACCTGTTCTGCTGATCTTTTGATTCTGCATTTATTTGACTACATTTTGTCTATTATACGTGTATCTGTTTAACTCTCATGGAAACATTTTTACTTTATCTTTTGATTATTTGTAATTTAAACTTGTTTCCATTCAGAGGAGCAGGATTTTTGGTTCCACGTTAAAAAGAGCGATTTAGTGTTGACCTTTGACCCACACACACCTGGGGGCGCTGTGGACTCTCCGTACCCCTTCATGTCCAGAGCCAACACCCTGAACCCTGCTGCTGCCACGGCCGGGATCTACCAGAGAGAGGAGAGGATGTTCAGGCACACGAGTGTTTGCTTTTAGTTTCAATATATAAACGTGTACAACATCCAAACTTTCAGGTGAAATCCAGTCTGAACACGTTACCTGGTACCTCCAGGAGTACCAGCTCTCAGGGAAGCCGTGACACAGCAGAACTGGTGGACCTGAGCCCATTTCAACATAATGAGTCCTCACACCAGGCTGACGCACACACAGAGGAATTATCATTAATGTCACGAGAAAGCAACGTTTCAGCTGCGTCTGACTTCCATCATTTCCTAAACAGACAGCAGGAGGAGAATTCTGTGTTGACCCCGATCCAGATCTTTACCCCGATGGTGACGTAACCATGAGACACTTCATCTGGGCTGCAGGAGGGCGGAGGACTCTCTGCTCCAGCAGCCTGAAACACATGGAAGTGTGGATGTTAGCGTGCTGATGTTAGCGCAGCAGCTGTCTGAGGTCAAACTGACTGATTCAGGCAGCAACATGACCTTTCCTCTGGCACCAGCTGCTGCTCCTGCATCACCCGCCGGTTCCAGCTTCTATGCACTAAAGCCTCATTTCTCTTTTCTTTACCTTAAAGACGCAAATTCTGTCATGATGGGGGGCAGCGGTTCCCGAGAAACGTGGAGTAGAACAACAGCTAAATGAATGAATGTGGGAAAGCTGTGATGCTGCGAGGCTGTCAAGATTCAGGTTAGCAAAATGAAATGCAAACAACAAGATGGAGAAGTTACAGAGTGAAAAAGCTCCTAGATCACTTTTCTTTAGCTTTTTGTTTCTCTGACAGTATAAGATCAAATAGTTCCGGGTCACACCTGAACTCCAGTGAAGTCGGCCAGTTTGTCCAGAGCGTCGGCCAGATTTTCCACCAAGACGGCCTTCATCCCCGCTCCCTCTGCTGCCTTCACACCTTCCTCATCTGCGTCCAACCACAGAGCCTGAAATCAGACCGACAGGCTGAGCGCGCTGTCCCGGACCAGGATTTACACTCGTGTGTGTGTGTGGGCGTGTCCTCGACCTGCTGCGATGTCACTCCCAGGTGCCGCAGAGCAGAGCTGAACGCGGAGGACTCGGGGACCCTGTGACCCGAGCGGCAGGACTGGAGGACCTGGTCAAAATGGCCGCCCAGCAGAGACAGAAGGCGGGCTGGACCGTCTCCAGCCGCGCTGTCATCTAGCCAGTGATTGGCCAGCACGGCCGTCAGTAACCCTGATGGGATGGAGGCGTAGAATCAGCCTTTGGTGATGTCATCGGGCGCCACAGCTGTGTGTGTTTCCCGTGCAGATGTGTTGATGCATAGTTACCACGGTGACGCAGACCGGCGGCTGCCTTCAGCACGGCTGGTTGGACGTCCATCATCGCCTCCCTGAGCTCCTCCAGCAGGCCTCTGACTGACCAATCGGACGGCAGAGTCACACCCCTGACCTGGGCCTCCTTCACACACTCCGCCTCAAAGGCTGCGATCATCTACACACACACACAGAGGATGGAGGAGGCAGTAAAGGGCCCATCCAAGGACTCTTCTTCACCTCCATGTTCAGTCACCTTCAGTAACAGCGAGGACAGAAGACATCAAATAAATCAAGAGATGATTTTGACCTCACCCACCTGAGACAGGGTCACCTCACCTCTCTCCGCCCGGCTCATGGCGCTGTCCCTTCGGGACGCCACGGCGGACAGAAAACCACTGAGAACCACAGAGAGACAAACAAGATGAAAGACGTGAAAAGAAGCGAGTCCACGTGAATGAGTCAGTAACATTAACACGAGTCTGTCTGGTGGCTTTAAAGGAGGTTAAACATGTGACAGATGCCACAGATCAGAGTTCGAGTGCTGTTTGTGTGGAGTAATGAAACCACAGGAGACTCAGCTCACACACACTGTGTCTTCACCAGCGCTGCACACTTATAATCTGCATCTAGTTCAGTCTGCAAATATAGTGAAGGCTGAGCCTGCACCTGATTGGGTGGCACAGCTGATACAGTATATGGCCAAAAGTAAATGGACAGTGAGTATTTTACTTACTCTCATCTTCATTCGCAGACACTTTTATCTAAAGCAGCTTTCATTTGGGGTTTCAGTGTCTTCCACATGTGGACGTCCGGGTCAATAGTGCTCCTTCAACTCTGTGTCCCTTTCCTGTTTCTACATGGCAGCGCCCCCGTGCACAAAGCAGCTCCAGAAAGAAACGGTTTGCTTGATTAAAGGATAGAACATTAAATTTATGGAGCAGATTAACAATTATTAACAACTTTGCAGCCATCTGTGTAAACCAGATTCTACAGTACTGTTGCAGATGTACATCTCAAATTAAAATGGATGGAAGCTGCCAAAAAGAAATTTACTCCCACATTTTTTATGAGCCATCAGGGGGAAGTTTTACAGCTTTACTGAGGACTGAACTGTTAAAATCCAGAAGGAAGCTGGTGACTGTTACTAGTTTGGTAGATGTGAATGGTGCTACATATTTAACCATTTAAGACAGAAGGCAGAGCTTAAAATAAGTGAACTGTGATCCCTGTAACACAAAAACAATGTGACTGATTCATCTTTGGCAGTGACCTATTAATCATGGGGGTTCAGCTGTCCATTTACTTTTGGCCATGTAGAACCTGCTGTCTGATCTTGTTTGCAGTTGCACAATGTGTTACAGAGTAACAGCAGTGTTCTTCTTTTAATAAGACTCATCAAACCTCTGCCACACCGACACACTCCAGGCACATTTCTTTCCTGCTTGGACAGATTATTTAACAGGTTTTAGAGATTTTAACGCAGGATGCACCGCAGTTTCCCTAAAACACCGAGTCATATTGCGTAATTTTTTACAGTGCAGAGATGTTGTCTTACCCAGGCAGGTGATGCAACTCCTCCAACCTGCGGAAAACATCACGAGGGCTGGAAGAGACAGCAACTCCCCAGAAGTTGAACAAGACGGCTTTCCTCTCAGCCATCTCCTCTGAGCCTGAGTGAAAGGAGCTTTAATGTTTCTGTCTCTGTCGTCCAGCAGGAATGTGTTTTCTCTGCTGCTGCTGCAGGAAGGCTCTGCTCACGCAACAGGGAAACTTTGCCCTTTGCACGGACTAACAGAAGCTCCGCCCACTTATCCTGCAAGTTCAGGCTTGACTGGGAGAAGGGACAAAGTGAAACTTCTCTGTGCCAATATGCAAACATCTTGATGCACATATGGAAAATATTTATAAGGAACTTACATCACCAACATTAATGTAGTTTGCTTGTGTGTTTCAGGCTCAAAGAGGACAAACTCTGGATAATTTAATATTTTGTATTTTATCATGTTTTGTTGAACAGTCTGGACACAAAATCTGATCTTCATGAAAAACAAAATGTCCCCTCAAATGTTTGCCATCTATTGTTGGTACGATTCCTTTGCTCAAAACAACCATTTGAATTATAACTTTTCCCCAACTGTAATACTTTCTTCTGAATGTAAAAATAATTGTTGCCATAGACAAAGACATAGATAGAGGAGCGGTGCTGTTTATTTCCACACTTGAAATTCAGCAAAGATAAAGTGCTTTAGGAGAACTTTTGATTCACTTCTGACTTAAAAGTTGCTCATTGTTTTGCTACAGTCCTCAAATGTTGTCTGTGATCAAACAGCCTGACAATCTAGTAAGACACAACAAGATACATGTCAGATCATCTCAGGCCAGAAGAAACGTGACAAACAGCTGACAAAGTTTTTTGTACTTGTCATGTCAAGGATTAAGCATTCCTTACTGCAGAAAATCAGAGGCTTTGTGTAACTTCTGGAAGAAGACAGTTCTCTGATAACATGTTGGCACAATAACATATATTAAAGAACTTGTGGGTAGCGTACGATTTTATAAAGTTTAAATGGATCGCTTTGTAGCATCCAAAGAGTTGTTTCACCGTCAGACACTTCAGTCTAAAGTCTTTCTCGTACTGTTAAAATGTTATTGCTTGGAAATTTGCTCTGCGAGCACAATGTTTAGGCTCCACCAGTGTTTGGTGAAGCAGCAGACGTGACGTGAAACAAACAGGAAGGTCATTAAATGAAGGTCTGTCAGCTCAGATCTCTCAGCTCTCTCTCTTCAGACGGCCGTCCTTCTCCAGGCCCAAGCAGACCAACGGCAGGGACCAAACCCCAGCGGAGGGGGTCGTCCGTGGGGACGCGGCCGTCCAGGGAGAGCCTCCCTCCTCTTCTGCCGATGGGAGCAGAGTCCCGGATACAAAGAGAGGCGGAGCACAGCAGAGCGCTTTGCCCTCTGGAGCCAGGGGCCCCGCTCTGGAACCTGCACTGTGCTGTGATCCCAGGAACAAAACTCTCCTACAGAAAACTCATATCACATTCTAGTTTTCAGCTTTTTAATACATCTGAAAAAGAGACACAATCACAATCACAATCAGTGTGTTTGAGCAGAATCTCAGCTGTCAAAGAAAAGAATGAGCTCCTTATTGATTCTGATCAGAAGAATTACACTTTAAAATACCTCACAGTCCCTCATTTGTACGTCTCTTTGGACAACAGCAACAACATTTGGTCTGCCAAACAAATAAATGTGAATGTAATTCTAGATTTCTTTCCAGAGTGAGAACAAAATCTCTGAGATAAAGGAAGGTCTGCTGCTTTCTCTCTTCAGACCCATGCAGTGGAAGAGAAACAACAACATACAAATACATCAATCCAAATATTCAACAAACATTTAGAGCTCAGACAAGTTTCCATTTTCATGCAGAGAAACAAAAGTCATCCTGAGCAGTGATAGCCTCCATGGCTAAACAGACACAGGAAGGAGCGCCGCCTAAAGAAACTCAAACATTTACACAGCAACTAATGACAAGACCTCAAAGTACCGCCCACAATGTTTGATTGACAGGTCAAGGCCACAACAATCAGCTCTCAGCAACAAACATGAAGACAAAATAAGTTGAAGGATTAAAAGACAGAATTTAACCCACTGTCCCTGAAATGACTTCTGACTATTTGACTTTACAGAACTCAGCAGAGTCTCCAGAAGACCAAGAAAACCCAAGTCCAGCACAGAGAGGCTGAGTGAATGTGGTCTGGACTCTGTGGAGGAGAGTCATGGTTTCAGAGATGCTGTAGAAGGACAGAATACCTGCACTGTGATCCAGGTACACTCCTAATCTGGAGGACCGAGGACCTGAGACGGGAGTTTGGACTTTGTTGAACCAAAAGTTATAACTGTTGTTCTGATAATGTAACGCCCAAGATTTATCATTAAACCCAAATCCACATTCAGTCCAGCTCCCTGCTCTGCTGATGTTCTTGTAGGCGACTGCTACGTTAACTCCTGTCCCTCTCCACTCCACCTCCCAGTAACAACGTCCAGTCAGACTCTCTCTACTCAGGACCTGAAGACATGTAGTGAATCTGTCTGGGTGACGAGAATAAGACTGTTGTTCTTTCATTACTGTTGCTTTTCTGTTCCCCTTAGATAATAACAGCTGTGTGTTTGCTGTGTTTGGATCCAGAGTGAGTTCACATGAATATTTTAAGAAGTCAGCTCTGGTCTTGGGCTCTGAGTCTGACAGTAAAACATCCACATCAGTCACTGTCTCTAAGATGTTTGTCCATGTCTCTGTCAGAACGTCCTGTAGTTTATCTCTGACTTCTGACACAGCCGCTGTCACATCCTCAAAGTAGCGCAGAGGACGGATGTTGATGCTGGATGAGTCTGTAGATTCACTGAGTGCTGACAGTGAGGGGTAGTTGTGTAGAAACTGGTTGTGATCCTCTGTGTGTGAGAGCTGCTTCAGCTCAGCGTCTTTCCTCTTCAGCTCAGTGATCTCCTGCTCCAGCTTCTCCTGAAGCTCTTTGACTCGACTCACTTCAGTGTCCTGCTGGGATCTGAGCTGCCGCTTCACATCAGACCTTCTTTTCTCCATCAGACGGATCAGCTCGGTGAAGATCTTCTCACTGTCCTCCACTGCTTTATCAGCAGAGCCATTGATAGCCTCCACCTCCTGCTGAAGCACCTTCACATCTTTCTGTCTGTCCTGGATTCTCTGCTGGATGTTTTGTCGACTCACCTCGAGCTCTCTCTGCCTCTCGGTCCTTTCTGCTGCAGCTGAGACTGTGTCGTGGCCTTTATGTTCATCCACAGAGCAGAGATAACAGATACTCTGCTGATCAGTACGGCAGAACATCTTCATCACCTCATCGTGACGAGAGCAGATGTTCTCCTGGAGCTTCTTGGAGGGCTCCACCAGCTTGTGTTTCTTTAACGGAGCCACATCATAATGAGGCTGCAGGTGTTTCTCACAGTAAGAGACCAGACAGACCAGACAGGACTTGAGGGCTTTCAGTTTTCTCCCAGTGCAGAAATCACAGGCCACATCTTCAGGTCCAGCATAGCAGTGATCAGCAGGAGCAGCTTGGAGTCCAGTCTTCTTCAGTTCCTCCACTAAATCTGCTAACATGGTGTTTTTCAGCAGGACAGGCCTCGGTGTGAAGGTCTGCCTACACTGAGGGCAGCTGTGGATTTTCTTCTCATCCTCTTCATCCCAGAAGCTTTTAATACAGTTCATGCAGTAGCTGTGTCCACAGGGAGTAGCCACCGGATCCTTCAGCAGATCCAGACAGATCGAACAGCAGAATTTTGCTCGGTCCAGCTGAACTCCTTTCTGCGCCATTTCACCTCTCAGTGGCAACGACTGTCTGAGTTTCACTTCCTCAGAAGTGCAACTAGTTTGAGCTCTGATCTAAACAGCATGTGTCTCTGCAGTTAATGGAGCCTGTCAGCTGCTGCACGTCAGCACATGTTGGTTACACCCATCTTCAAACTGGAGATCTGAAGGGGAGGGAACAAGGAAATATATGGACAGAGTGGAGCTCGCTGTGATTGGAGAGCAGGAGGAAGAGGGAGGGGTCATCAAGCTGTGACTCAGCTCTGTGGAATTGAACTTTGTTTCCTCATTTAGAGCGAAGCCTCAGTTAAAACCTGCTCCTGTCTGAAGACTGTAAAGTTTTTAGTTGTAAAATACTTCTTGGCTCCATATTTCTCCAACTCTTCCTCAAATTCTGTTCAATGTTTCTTTGACTGGTTAAAACCAGCTGACTGACAGTAATCAAACTAAAGTGTCCTAAAATCCTTAAACTGCTGTATCAAATGTGAGTTTTAAAACAAAACAATTACTAAAATATCAAACAGTCAAAATAATAATAATTTGAAAATTAGTACAATTATTTATCAGTCTGAGTTTCCACTGGTTGTCCTCACTTCATGGAGGAGACATATTTTGCAGCGATTACTTCCCATTTGGGCATTTCTCCCAGTAAATAGGGGAGTTTCTGTGTGTCTGATATGAATTCAAATTCTTGGTATATTTGGGAAATGTTTGCAAAGTGTTTTTGTCTTTAGGGCAGGAGGTTAGAAAGTGCAGCCCTGTCCTGTCAGATCAGAGTCTCTCCTCGTCATGTTCCTTTCACGGTCGGACCTCAAAATTGGTAAAGTTATTTAAGGATCAAACCCGAAACCTCAGACTCTCTGGAGAAGCACTCTAACACACTAAGCACGAGACAACAGCAGCATCTCAGAGGCTTCAGTGTGCAGAAATCTACAGCCATGGAAATATGAATGCATGTTTTCTAACGGTTGCCTTATTTGATGAGGAAGTAGGTGTTTGGTGTTTAAAAGCAAGTCACCTCCTCCAAAAGATGGATTCTCACTATGTAACACCGTAACGAAAGATCAGGTGTTCTCAACATTTGTTTTAACAACTTCACGGCTTCTGTGATAGTTGCAGCAGTGTCGCGTTGCTGCCACCTGCTGGACTGGACTGGTTCGTAGTGTAGTAGTTATGAAGTCTGTCCTACCAGGCTGCCGAGCAACGACTAGACGTAAACAGGAAAAAGGAAATATAGTTGGAGATGATAGAATCTTAATGGGTCCTGGGGCTCCTGGGTACTGACCTCCCCACAACTCCTACATAGGTCACGGCATAATGTACACTAAATCCATTAGCAACAATTAAAACGAGGACAATGCAGCCGTGTTCAGTTCAGGGGCAGAGTGTTGTGTGGGAGCTGGGAGCTCTCTTTGGCTTTACTACTTTTCAAACCTCTTACATGCAGAAAAAAATATTTATAACACAGCAAAAGAAAAGGGAAAAGCTCTGAACTAACTCTAAACTGTGCCACAAACACACGTTGTGATGATCTTTCAAAATAAAAACAACCTGAACAGATTTTCCAAAGTGAGTCCATTTATTTAGAAAAGTAAACAAGTCTACAGAAACAGTTTTATTACAGCAACTTTTTTTTAATAGTGTCTGGGCCCAGTGGAGGGATTACTGTGTTTCACCTTCGACCTCACACATGTCACACAGCGTCTCCTCGAGGCTAAAATGTCCTTGGCAACCACTGCTGCCGCACAGACAGGGCACTTCCTGTTTCCTCTGGGTGTCGGCGGAGTAGTTCCAGGTGAGCTCGGTGCCGGCCTTCACAGCCCTGACACAGACGAAACAAAAATCAGACGGCAACAAACAATAACAACCGTCGTTGTCATCATCATCATCATATGTTCCTCACCTGCTGGTGAAGAAGGCGACGACGGGGAAACCGGGGTCGTGGGAGTCGGTGAAGACGTTCTGGATGAACAGGTTTGGCTGGCAGCTGTGCTGTAGAGACAGGGTCAAAGGTCAAGTTAGGCCTGAGCGCTCTATCATTTCTACAGCAGCTCATCATCATCCTCAGGTTCCTCTTACGTTAATGAAGCGGCTCACGTTTCCCTCCTTGCTGGCGTCCAGGAAGGTGATGTCCTCCACCTTCATCGTTCTCTTTAAACTGTTGAAGCTGTTCGCCTCCGTCTCGGTACCGTTCACGCTTTGGACCGCCGCCGCCTCCTCAGGACTGGCTGCTGTCACGGCAATCTTCTGCTGAGCTGGAGACCGGTCACCTGCCGAAGGAGACGGCGGCTCCGGACCTCCTGCCGACACCGTCAGAACCTGTGAGTTCAACAAACATGAAGAGGTCAAATTTAACGACCATTGAACGGATGCTATTAGTGCTAATGCTACCTGTAAAGTGATGCTAAAGGATGCTAACGCTACCTGTAAAGTGATGCTAACGCTACCTGTAAAGTGATGCTAAAGGATGCTAACGCTACCTGTAAAGTGATGCTAAAGGATGCTAACGCTACCTGTAAAGTGATGCTAAAGGATGCTAACGCTACCTGTAAAGTGATGCTAAAGGATGCTAACGCTACCTGTAAAGTGATGCTAAAGGATGCTAACGCTACCTGTAAAGTGATGCTAAAGGATGCTAACGCTACCTGTAAAGTGATGCTAAAGGCTAACGCTACCTGTAAAGTGATGCTAAAGGATGCTAACGCTACCTGTAAAGTGATGTGATGAGAAATTCCTCGGGTCATGATGTTAGAACATTATAGCTTTAAACTTTACACAGCTCTTTGTTGGAACTGAATGATGCTAATTTATTCCGCCGTTTTTTGGCATCTATCTTCTCCGTTTTTCCTACAAACTTGGTTTTAACTTCAAATTGTACATCTTCTTCATGAGATGGGTGCAATTACCTGTGTTGCTGATATCTGTAATGGTTGATTTTATATTAATATTTTTATGCATTTTAAAATGACTGTCTTCCTATTAAGGGAAGGCTTTCAAGTTTCTTTGTCAATCATGTCTTATTCTGACAAAAAAATGGCTCCTAAGCACCAATCGAAATAATTGTGCTGTGAAAGACTTAATAGGTCAATAACTTTATAGCTGTGATGGAGCAGTGGATAAGATGCCTGCCTTTGGTGTGAGAGACCCGGGTTACATTTTTTTGTCAGAATAAGACATGATTGACAAAGAAACTTGAAAGCCTTCCCTTCACAGTGTATCCGAGCAGTCCGGTGGTTTAGGTCTTGCTCTTGCTCCGGATCCAGAGATTGATGGACAAAACCCTGCTCACATCATTTTGACGAAAAGGGGGTCAAACTTAACACATGTTTGCTGAACAAGTAGCAGCACATCATTGAGTCTCTTTAGCTGATGGAGCCGCACACTGCAGCGACAATAGCTGGCAGCTCTCACACGCATTTTCTTAAGGAAATGCCCGTTCTAATGCTACCCGTGACCAGGCGGAGAAGGATGCTCATGCTACCCGTGACCAGGCGGAGAAGGATGCTCATGCTACCCGTGACCAGGCGGAGAAGGATGCTCATGCTACCCGTGACCAGGCGGAGAAGGATGCTCATGCTACCCGTGACCAGGCGGAGAAGGATGCTCATGCTACCCGTGACCAGGCGGAGAAGGATGCTCATGCTACCCGTGACCAGGCGGAGAAGGATGCTAATGCTACCCGTGACCAGGCGGAGAAGGATGCTCATGCTACCCGTGACCAGGCGGAGAAGGATGCTCATGCTACCCGTGACCAGGCGGAGAAGGATGCTCATGCTACCCGTGACCAGGCGGAGAAGGATGCTCATGCTACCCGTGACCAGGCGGAGAAGGATGCTCATGCTACCCGTGACCAGGCGGAGAAGGATGCTCATGCTACCCGTGACCAGGCGGAGAAGGATGCTCATGCTACCCGTGACCAGGCGGAGAAGGATGCTCATGCTACCTGTAACTGAACCAGACTCTGACCTTGTCTTTTTCCTGTGGTGCGGTGGCGTTGGTGTCGGCGGATCTCTGGATAACCGTGACGTGCGAGGTGGGCAGTTCCAGCAGGGTGCTCCGCCCCTCCAGCACCGGCGGGGCCAGCCACTCAGTGACGACCTCCACCTCGTCGTCTGAGGGGATGTCCGCCCTCGTCAGCTTCGGTGGCGGAGGCTCGGCGTGACTCTGAACCCTCCGCAGGATTACACCTGAACACATTTCACTTTTACTCCACATGTTCACCATCCTCATCCTGTGACTCGTCCTACAGCGACGCCGTCTCACCTGCGTAGATGCACACGAACGTGCCGCGGTCCAGGTCGTCGCGGCACCGGACGCCCCAGCCGCGGCCCTCGGTCTGAAAGACCTGGAGGCGGACTCTGATCCCTCTCTGGACCAGCCGGTTCTGGCAGCGAGCCCGATCACAACCACACCACGGACCACACTCGTAGAGTCTGCAAACACACGTTCATGTATTTATTACGCCACATGTCATCAGCTGATCCTGAGATGCACCGCTCAGATACGTGACACCAGTCAACAGCAAACTTTATTGGCCGCCTCACCCTGACGGTACGGGCTCATTCAGCCTGTGATGGGTGTAAGGGCGCCCCCCTGTGGTCATGGCGATACAGGCGCAGCTTTGTGCGTCGGTGCAGCCGTCGGTGCAGTCGCAGCAGGCGTCGAACAGCGTCGGGCCGCGGCTCAGGAAGCAGCCGTGTGGCCAGCGCTCCTTCCTGTAGCGGAAGTCGGCGGGCCGGGCGCCGCCCTCCCCGGCGCACAGCTCCACCGGTGTGGGTTCCACGCCCCGACTCAGGTCCAGCTCCGGCCGCCGGGGGCCCGTCGCCAGGGGTGGGTCCAACTCAACGGCTGGGTTAAAGGTGAAGAAGTCGACCTGCAGGAGACGGGAAGACGGATCCTCAGGAGCCTGAACGCCTCGTCACTTTTCAGATCAGACTTTATCAGATAAATTTCAGTAAAGTACTTTTACTTCGATACGCTTCACACGTTCAGCTGGAAATACTTCTGTACTGCAGTCGTGTTTTAATAGCAGAGTATTTTTAGATTGTTGTACTGGTACTTATCCGAGTACCCTGAACGCATCATAACAGACCAGCTGACCTGCAGGACGTCGAAGCTCTCTGTGGCCAACAGGAAACGCATCACGTCGTCGTGGTTACGGAGGCTCAGTCCACACGGCGCCTTGTAGACGACGTCCCAGTCCTCCACGTCCTCGGAGACCGAAAACTCCGCCCCCTCGGCGTCACTGGTCCCGACCCCCCTCGATGACATCAGCGGCACGGCGGTCAGCCTCTTAAAGCCGCAGAGCAGCGGGACCTTCAGGGGGTTCTCACCCCAGAAGAGAGGCGTGGAGTGAGGCATGCTGGGTAAACTGGACAGACAGGCCTGGAAGGAAACAACAAGAAAATCTAAACATCCGGTTTGAAATTAAATAATTATGAAAACTTTATTAATCTTCATATACTTTACAGTGTGTGTGTGTGTAGTACAGTGTGTGTATTGTGTGTGTGTGTGTAGCACAGTGTGTGTATTGTGTGTGTGTGTGTAGTACAGTGTGTGTGTGTGTAGTACAGTGTGTGTGTGTAGTACAGTGTGTGTGTGTAGTACAGTGTGTGTATTGTGTGTGTGTGTGTGTAGTACAGTGTGTGTATTGTGTATGTGTGTGTATTGTGTGTGTGTGTGTATTGTGTGTGTATTGTGTGTGTAGTACAGTGTGTGTATTGTGTGTGTGTGTGTAGTACAGTGTGTGTATTGTGTGTGTGTGTGTAGCACAGAGTGTGTATTGTGTGTGTGTGTGTAGTACAGTGTGTGTATTGTGTAGTACAGTGTGTATTGTGTAGTACAGTGTGTGTATTGTGTGTGTGTAGTACAGTGTGTGTATTGTGTGTGTGTAGCACAGAGTGTGTATTGTGTGTGTGTGTAGCACAGAGTGTGTATTTGTGTGTGTGTGTGTGTATTGTGTGTGTGTATTTTGTGTGTGTGTGTGTATTGTGTGTGCGTGTAGTACAGTGTGTGTATTGTGTGTGCGTGTAGTACAGTGTGTGTATTGTGTGTGCGTGTAGTACAGTGTGTGTATTGTGTGTGCGTGTAGTACAGTGTGTGTATTGTGTGTGTGTAGCACAGAGTGTGTATTGTGTGTGTGTGTGTAGCACAGAGTGTGTATTGTGTGTGTGTAGCACAGTGTGTATTTTGTGTGTGTGTGTGTGTATTGTGTGTGTGTATTTTGTGTGTGTGTGTGTATTGTGTGTGTGTATTTTGTGTGTGTGTGTGTATTGTGTGTGTGTGTGTGTAGTACAGTGTGTGTATTGTGTGTGTGTGTAGTACAGTGTGTGTATTGTGTGTGTGTGTAGTACAGTGTGTGTATTGTGTGTGTGTGTAGCACAGAGTGTGTATTGTGTGTGTGTGTAGTACAGAGTGTGTATTGTGTGTGTGTGTAGCACAGTGTGTGTATTGTGTGTGTGTGTGTAGCACAGAGTGTGTATTGTGTGTGTGTGTGTAGTACAGAGTGTGTATTGTGTGTGTGTAGCACAGTGTGTGTATTGTGTGTGTGTGTGTAGCACAGAGTGTGTATTGTGTGTGTGTGTAGTACAGTGTGTGTATTGTGTGTGTGTAGTACAGTGTGTGTATGTGTGTGTGTGTGTAGTACAGTGTGTGTGTGTGTAGTACAGTGTGTGTGTGTAGTACAGTGTGTGTATTGTGTATGTGTGTGTATTGTGTGTGTGTGTGTATTGTGTGTGTATTGTGTGTGTAGTACAGTGTGTGTATTGTGTGTGTGTGTGTAGTACAGTGTGTGTATTGTGTGTGTGTGTAGCACAGAGTGTGTATTGTGTGTGTGTGTAGTACAGTGTGTGTATTGTGTAGTACAGTGTGTATTGTGTAGTACAGTGTGTGTATTGTGTGTGTGTGTAGTACAGAGTGTGTATTGTGTGTGTGTGTAGCACAGTGTGTGTATTGTGTGTGTGTGTGTAGCACAGAGTGTGTATTGTGTGTGTGTGTAGTACAGTGTGTGTATTGTGTGTGTGTAGTACAGTGTGTGTATTGTGTGTGTGTGTAGTACAGTGTGTGTGTGTAGTACAGTGTGTGTGTGTGTAGCACAGTGTGTGTATTGTGTGTGTGTGTAGTACAGTGTGTGTATTGTGTGTGTGTAGTACAGTGTGTGTATTGTGTGTGTGTGTAGTACAGTGTGTGTGTGTGTAGTACAGTGTGTGTGTGTGTGTAGCACAGTGTGTGTATTGTGTGTGTAGTACAGTGTGTGTATTGTGTGTGTGTGTGTAGCACAGTGTGTGTAGCACAGTGTGTGTATTGTGTGTGTAGTACAGTGTGTGTATTGTGTGTGTGTGTAGCACAGTGTGTGTAGCACAGTGTGTGTATTGTGTGTGTGTGTGTAGCACAGTGTGTGTAGCACAGTGTGTGTATTGTGTGTGTGTGTGTAGCACAGTGTGTAGTACAGTGTGTGTGTGTGTAGTACAGTGTGTGTGTAGTACAGTGTGTGTATTGTGTGTGTGTGTGTAGTACAGTGTGTGTATTGTGTATGTGTGTGTATTGTGTGTGTAGTACAGTGTGTGTATTGTGTGTGTGTGTGTAGTACAGTGTGTGTATTGTGTGTGTGTGTGTAGCACAGTGTGTGTATTGTGTGTGTGTGTGTAGCACAGAGTGTGTATTGTGTGTGTGTGTAGTACAGTGTGTGTATTGTGTGTGTGTGTAGTACAGTGTGTGTATTGTGTGTGTGTGTGTGTGTGTGGTACAGTGTGTATTGTGTGTGTATTGTGTGTGTGTGTAGTACAGTGTGTGTATTGTGTGTGTGTATTGTGTGTGTGTGTGTAGCACAGTGTGTGTATTGTGTGTGTGTGTGTATTGTGTGTGTGTAGCACAGTGTGTGTATTGTGTGTGTGTAGCACAGTGTGTGTATTGTGTGTGTGTAGCACAGTGTGTGTATTGTGTGTGTAGTACAGTGTGTGTATTGTGTGTGTGTGTAGCACAGTGTGTGTAGCACAGTGTGTGTATTGTGTGTGTGTGTGTGTAGCACAGTGTGTGTATTGTGTGTGTGTGTGTGTGTGTGTAGCACAGTGTGTGTATTGTGTGTGTGTAGTACAGTGTGTGTATTGTGTGTGTAGTACAGTGTGTGTATTGTGTGTGTAGTACAGTGTGTGTATTGTGTGTGTGTGTGTAGCACAGTGTGTGTAGTACAGTGTGTGTATTGTGTGTGTGTGTGTAGCACAGTTTGTGTAGCACAGTGTGTAGTACAGTGTGTGTGTGTGTAGTACAGTGTGTGTATTGTGTGTGTGTGTGTGTAGTACAGTGTGTGTATTGTGTATGTGTGTGTATTGTGTGTGTGTATTACAGTGTGTGTATTGTGTGTGTGTGTAGTACAGTGTGTGTATTGTGTGTGTGTGTAGCACAGAGTGTGTATTGTGTGTGTGTGTAGCACAGTCTGTGTATTGTGTGTGTGTGTAGTACAGTGTGTGTATGTGTGTGTGTGTGTAGTACAGTGTGTGTATTGTGTGTGTGTGTGTGTGTGGTACAGTGTGTATTGTGTGTGTGTGTGTGTGTGGTACAGTGTGTATTGTGTGTGTGTGTGTGTGTGGTACAGTGTGTATTGTGTGTGTGTGTATTGTGTGTGTGTGTAGTACAGTGTGTGTATTGTGTGTGTGTATTGTGTGTGTGTGTAGCACAGTGTGTGTATTGTGTGTGTGTGTATTGTGTGTGTGTAGCACAGTGTGTGTATTGTGTGTGTGTAGCACAGTGTGTGTATTGTGTGTGTGACCTTGCAGCAGAGGTGGGGCTGGTACTGCAGCTGGACGGGGGTCAGAGGAGGCAGCAGCTCCTCTCTGCCAGCGGGGGGCGCTGCAGAGCTGGACAGCCCGTTGAAGGGCAGCAGGGGGGAGGAAGAGGGGGAGGAAGAGGGGCTGTGGTGGGAGAACTCGGACGGCAGCAGCAGCTCCACTGGACAGGAAGACACTTCCAAAATAAGAGCTCATAAACACTGTCCAGGCTTCAGATTCTTTACAGGTGAAATATTTAAACTCTAGAAGATTCTTCATGTGTACTACAGTCATTTTAGGAGTTTACCCAACGAAAAATACATAAAACAAAAGAAGTTGTTCCATAAAGTGCATCTGATGACGAAGCTGACCGTAACGCTCGAGGAAAGAGCTTCAGTATATTAAATAAACTTTGTCCAGAACACGTGAAGCTTATTTTCTGGCACAACTTCACGGTGACTTCCAAAGTCTGGAGAGTTCAAAACTCCTGCAACACTTGAAAAACTTCACTGTGAAAAACTCATAGACTCCACTATAAAGACTGAGAGGTCCTGTAGTTCTGACCTCTTTGAAATTTTACATTCACAAGTTTAAATTCTGATTTAAAGGATTTCAGAAATGTAAAGATGTTTGAACTCTTTAAGCCACACACTCTTGTTTCTTTTTCTTTTCAGAAGATATTAACCTTATTCTCCACTGTTCTTTTTAAACTTTCCTGCACGTTACTTTTTCCAGACTCCTCTGTAGATTTTTCAGACATCCGAGCACAAATATCTAGATGTTTATTATGATAATAAATGGTTTTAATCTCCCACACATGCATCTTACAACACTTGTTGTTGCTGTTCGGTCCAAACTCCTCCCCAGAAAGTTGGACAGCAAACATCTCAAACAGGAAGTGAACTAACTGGTTCTACCTGCACTCATATTATTGCTCCTTTATAAATAATCCCTGCTTGTTGTTGGATCACACACACGTGAACATGCATTTAAGTTTAAAAGTAAAGTAGTGGTTTCAGTGTAAAGTCTGCGTTTACCTGAGCCGATGACCACCTGGACCACAGACGAGTCCGGCGTGGAGGCCGGAGGACAGCAGTCCAGAGACTCCAGCAGCTTGAAGGCCTGAACATATTCTGATCAACACACGGCAGGAAGACACCGTCATCACAACCTGAAGCTCACATCCTCTTCATTACCACCAAAGAAGAGATCGATCAAAAAGTGAAACCTTTATCGGTCGCTGTGTTCTTCTTCAGGACTCTCTTCAGGTAATCCAGATATGCGTATACTCCATTAAAAACCTGATCCACGTCTTCCCCGGCCCAGAAGGTTTTGGCCCGCTCTGAAAAACACACCAGGACAAACTCTCATCACTTTATAAATGTTAGAAATACAGAAGGCTTTCTACATCCAGACCACGAAAGACCTGGTCTACATTAACAACCAAGGCGTGCCAAACCTGGACTAGATCCACATGGGGACTCTGTTTCAAACCCGGTTTCAGGTTTGGAAAACCTTTATTCAACATGTGAACGCTGAAAAAGGATCAATCTCTGTGATTTTTCTCCATGCAGACCACATCATACGTAGTCTAGCTCCAAAACCACCATACGCATGTGTATCAGATCTGGACTGGATCCACATGGGGACTGTTTATAAGCCAGTTTCAGGTTTATTCTAATGAAATGCAGTAATGTTGCAGAATCAACGTGTCCAGCTTCTGATGAAACTACTGCAAAACAACAAAAAACAAACTGTGAGGTTCAAACAAACACTTATGAGTCAGTAACAATAAAAACATTTGTTCTCACCGACTTCTTGCGGATCTAAAGGATCCTCTTCCATCTCCAGTTAGCGTTAGCCTGCTAGCACCCAGCTAAGCTAGCTCGGCTGGCTAACAACAAAGAGGGGGAAGCTAACTACTAATCTAAACTTTCAGAGAGAGCTAAAGGCGGAGTGCTTCTACTTAAACACCAGCAGAGAAGTTAAGCTCCGCTAACGTGAGCTCCGTCTGAACTGAACAAAGTTCACGTTGTTGTTCATTCAGCTAACGAGCAGTAACCTCAGCTAGGTTAGCTTCCCGCGGAATGAACGATGCTAACAGCCGTTAACCGGCCGCGCCACATCACGACATCAGGGCCGTTCCCCAAAGACTTTCACCTTTCATTGTGCTTTTAACGTTTAAAGGTGACTAACAGCACAAACACAACCTCAAACATTCACATGCCGCTTCGCATTTTGTACTGATTTACATTGTACGTGAATATTGGCCCACAACAGCTGCCGTAGACCGTATTTACGTAACATTTCCCCTGAGTTTAGTCTTCCAGACAGTTTTCCGGGTCTTAAACTGAATCTTCTCGTGTTTATTACAAGAAAACTTTACTTGGCTTATTGTTGAACATAAACCGGCTTGTTTATAAAGCGTCACGTACATAATTGGCTTGCAGACCGCAGTCCGCCTGCCTGGGAGTCCAACCTCAGGGTTAAAAACATGATTAGCTTCGCTTTTTGAATTGACCCACATGCGCCACCGTACTACCCTACCGGTTATGAGGATAATAACAAACAAACTTGACACGTTTCACAACTCTGCTGTTATAAGTCAGTAACAACAAACATCACATGTGTATAAACCTCCATCAGTCCGGAAACGTGTCATGGAACATAAACCGGCTGTGACAGGAGCGGTGTTAGCATGACGATGCTAACGTTAGCCACTTCCTGTGCGGTTTTGTAACAGCGTGAAAATGAACTTGTGTAACTTTAACTGAGC